TGCTGACCGCCTCTGTGCTGCCCAGCCACCAGAGGAATGCAGTAGTGTTGATCGTCAGCACGATCTGGATCGTGACGTAGTGGCGCGCGAACCAGCCGGCGAAGCGCCGCCCGCCTCCTCCTGTCCCGGTGACGTCACCGCTGACGTCACTGGGACCGGAGCCGCTGCCGGCGGCGGTCCCCGACGCCGCTTCATCGTGCGCGGTCGGCAGGGGCTGAACGGGACCTGAGCTGGAGCTGGAGCTGAACTGAGCTTGCACTGAGCTTGCACTGAGCTGAGCTGAGCTGGGTTGAGCTGTAGAGCGCGGGACCGATTTGAAAATCCGCCTGTTCGCGCCCAGGAGCTTGGATCCCCGATACTGACAACTTTGTCGCCGAGTTAGCTTGGAGCCAAGGGGATACTGATAATGACCGCCGCCGACCGTCCGATCCGTTCCCGATGCGCCGGAGGGTCGGCGGCGGCGCGTGGATGACGTCCCTCGGCTGCCGGGCGGTGCTCAGCTCCCGCCGGCGACGCCGCGAGTCGCGGCCGTCGCTGACTAAACCGAGTTGGCGGCGGCCGGGCGCAACGGGGTGCGGTTGCGGCGAGGGCGGCCGCGAGGGATCCGCCGGTCTGACGTCCGGATCCGGACACCGTCTGGATCCGCCGGCGTCAGGATCACCGATCGGGTGCTCCACTTCTGGACGGGACCGCTGCTGAGTTACGCGGGCCCGGAACACCGCTCAACGTGTGCACAGCAGCGGAATCTCTTGGCACCCGGCCCCACACGCCTATCAGTCGCCTCACTTGAACAGGTGCCGTCTTATGCGCCGTTTCTGGACATCACTGGGTTCTCCACCAACTGGCGATGTTCACGCAGGATGACTGGACGCCCAGAGCACCGCTGAGATCCTCCAGCTGGACGCCCAGAGCACCGCCGAGATCCTCCAGCTGGACGCCCAGAGCACCGCTGAGATCCCCAACTGGACGCCGAAAGCACCGCCGAGATCCCCCAACTGGACGCCCAAAGCACTGCTGAGATCCTCCAGCTGACGCCCAGAGCACTGCCGAGATCCTCCAGCTGGACGCCCAGAACACTGCTGAGATCCTCCAGCTGAACGCCCAGGGCACCACTGAGATCCTCCAGCTGGACGGAGCACAGGGCGCGCGCGGCCGGCGCTCGGAACCCGGCCGACTCAGACCGCTGATCCAATCAGCCGCCCAGAGCGGGCTTCCCCTCCCCCCCCCCCCCCGGGGGCAAGGCGGAGCACGTGCGGGGCTTCCGCCGCAAGCCGCGAGTGGTGGAGACGGCGCTGATTTCGGCACTGGGTTGGTCAACGGTACATTTGTATTGTTCTTGATGCTGCTTGATGCGCAGTAATGCCTGTGACCGCGCGCAGTAATTGCGCTGGTGTCGCGGGTGCTGTGTGTCTGCGGCGCTCGGGAGCTCGCCATCGTGATTGTAAAAAATTCGAAGGTAAGAGCATGAATCTACCTGTTTTGTGATTATTTACGATATGTCCTGCCTTAAACACGACGAATGGTGTACAATGATTTTTTCTAACGTTAGGTAGGAAAGTACACCCTGACCGTACTGGCAGCAATATTGTAAGGTTTGCCTGCTCGATTTAGCTGATCCAAACCGTTTTACTGAGGGTGAGGTCCCCTCGGGCGTTATGATGAACAGCAGGTTCGTGCAGAGAGAGGGGACCCAGTGGGACAGCACCAGTAGCATCAGGTGCTGATAGTAAGTTGTTTTTAGTAGAGTACTGCATTTCCAGAAAATTTGTTATAATCACACACACACACACACACACACACACACACACACACACACGCACGCACGCACGCACGCACGCACGCACGCACGCACGCACGCACGCACACACACACACACACACACACACACACACACACACACACACACACACAGTTCATGACTCCCAGGCTCATGTTGTCTGGGATTTACCATGTCCTGTGCCCCTGAGTGGTGTCCCCACATTACCAAAAGAGCACAGCAACTCAACTGATGCAAAGGTGCTCTTGCCAGGTGTTGCATGTGATGTCAAGCCTATCGAGATGAACTGGAATTGAGGAGGAATGTGTTGGTGTGTAGGGATTGTCATGCATGACTTTCGCTAGGTATGTATTTTCCTCCGCCACAAATGCTGCTGTCAGTGAGCCATATGGTGGTGGAGACAGTCAGTGGCACCTCCTGGGGTAGAGTCTCGAACTTAATGCTTTGCATCCCATGTGTGGTTCAGTCTGTGTGGTCCCCTACTCATCTGGAGTCAGCACAGGAATCAAGATGACGTCATTGGTCTAACAGAGAAGTGGTGAGATCCATCTCTTGACTTGAGCTGCACACAGATTGTGGCATCTTTCAGTGTAGTAACATATGCTTGTCAATGCTTGGCTTGTCATGTTGCAATGTATATGTCCTGTTACAACAAATTCTGGAATTGATGTCAGTCCCATGACAGCCCTGCGTGTGGCATCCTTTGTGTTCATGTCTCATCACTGTATGGGAATGAGTTGTCATCTCATTGCCAGGGTACCTATACCACCTGTTCAAATATGCGGCTTTTGTGTAGCATAGCATAATATTCATTGTATCTACAAGTGTGACTTTGAGTAGTTTATGGTCTTATTGCAGTGTTACTGTGGCTGTTAATACAGTTTTGAGACAGGTGGCCCTATTGCAACACTCCTTAAGAGCCTCAGTTCATGAGCAATCTGTTGGATGGTGCATGTCAAACCCAGGGTGTCTTCCCCAAAGCTCTCTGCTGGCCCTCAGTGAGACAGCATCGCCATCTAGCTGCGCGAACGTGGCGCCGTTCTCGACGTACAGTAACTGCCCTCAGATGGTTCGCCCGACATCAAGCCTGCCGTCGCGGCGCTGCCGGCGGCAGGAAGTGCACTGGCATGTGGTGATGATGGGCAAACAAGGGATTGCTCTGGCCATCCGATGAGGAGCGAACAAGATGGCGACCATCACACGTCTGAGACGTCTGGCATGCATGCCTTTTTATCGTATAAGGGCACATAAAATGCTGCATTTTATTGTGCTCTCCCTGCAAGGGTTGGACGTTTTGCCCATGATGTGCGTGTTGCAGCACAAAAGCGATGTCTGCCTTTGTTTGGAATTGTATTTGCTAACAGATCTCCTTCATACCGACACCTGTTTGCAGCCCAGTCCCCCATGCCTCTTGATGTATGCATACCACCACCCCATCCAGCCCTGGTAACACATACGCGACAAACAAACAAACAAACGAGGAGGGACATCGTTTTTCTTGTAGTAATCACAGTCCCTATTGATAGTCACGACCGGCAGCGCGTCCTTTCGTGCGCACACGGCCATAGATCCTATGCTGTCAGGTCTTGGGATTACGGAGCACGTGGGAAAGTTCCGTTTCCTTTCCTCTACACCACGTCGCCTGTGAACTTCCCTGTATGTGACTGGGCGTTGCCGTGGCCGGGGTTGGGTTCGTGCCGAATTGTCCGGAATGTTTTTTGGTGAGTTCATCAAAAGCCTGTCCTTGATGTGGTCTCGATCTCGATTACCAGTTACATGCTTCAGTTATCGTAACACCCTGTGAAGCTGGATGTGGCAGGATAAGGCATTGCAGATCCCCGAAAGCTGTGATCCTTCCTGGGTATCCGCTGGAAGTCGCTATTGCTGTCGGTATCCGCAGTTGTATTGTGTTGTAAGTTGTATCGTGCTGTTGGTACCCGCTTCTGTTGCTGTCTACTATTGTCAGCGTGAGGAAGAGCTGGTGAACATATATTAGACGGTAGCAATAGCCTTATCTCTCGGAGAAGAACAGGAGAATGGAGATATAGATGCGTGCATGCATAATGCTCCTCACAAAATGCACTCACAGAGGAGCTGATGAGCTTCTGTTTTGAACGGCTCAGCGGAAATTTCGCTGGGCTTGCAGGTGCTGATGATGCCGTGCGCACCTCCGCCAGCAGCTGCCGCCTGCGGCCGGTCCCCGGCTGACCCTTCAGAAGCTGTCATCCTGGCACACCGGTGTGTGTCAGGATATGTGTGTCATCCTGACACGCCGCTGCTTGCATTGGTTGCCGTGAAATCTCGACGTGATGCCAAGCTCCATTTTTTAGATGTTTCTCCGGACGTGAAACCCAACCCAGAGGTGCTGCAGGCGGTTCTGGGTGATCCACCGGACGTGAAGCCTACCCTAAAGATGATGCAGTTGGCAAGAAACGCGGTGGTGCTTGGTACGTGTCATTTGTCTGACGCAACTGGTGCGTGTGCTTTTTTCAAAATCTGTATAACGTGTTTTGCTGCTATCTCCCGCTCGGTCTGATGTTACCAGTTTGGCATCTGCATTTGTGGGGCTGTCAGATCTGTTTTAACATTGCGCATGTTTTCGTCGTACTAGGTTCCGTCGGACCTTTGGTAGCGTACAACTATCAGTGATCCCAGTATTCCTTTTCTGTTTGCTGTTTGATAAAACAGTAGTCTGAAGATTTCGAATGCGCTGATCCTTGGAGTCTGGGGGCTCGTTAAGCAGTGCTTGTTGCGTGATCCCTGACGCCTACCATCCGATCGCGAAATTCTAGGTCAGCGGCAGAGTTTGGTAGCGAAAGTTTAACGAGCCGTAATGTTCGGCAAGGTCCGCTCTGCCCTCTGACGTCACCGTATGTACCGCTCTGCCCTCTAACGAGCCGTAATGTTCGGCAAGGTCCGCTCTGCCCTCTGACGTCACCTGACCTTTAGCGCGGCCGTAGGCCACCCCAGTCAGCAAGCAGTGAGCACCTGAAGCGACTCGAACCCAACCCGCCACCGGTGAATGAATTGGAAGGCAGACGCTCTAACCAACTGAGCCACCGGGCTGACCATCGGTCGTGTCTCTCAAACGAGTGTTACTCTTCCTCAAGTATAGTCTACCCCTGTTATGCCTGTCATGCTGGCTGGTATATGTGCTGTAAATATTTTTACTTGTCAACGGATTGGCATGAATATTTGCAGATGCTTCGTGAATGTCGTAGCAATGTTGCTAGTGGCAAATAGACCATTTCTTTTTATTTTATTTTCTGGGCCAGGTGGGCGCGAGTTGCCTCAGCGTTTATTTCGCAATTAAGAAGCTACCAAGCAGCAAACAACTGGCGTGAGCAAGCAACTGGTCTGCCACGTATTTGGACAGCTATCACTCTCGCCCGTAGCATGAGAACTATCCGAAATAATGCACGAAAAACGTGACCGTCACGAAACTCCCACTTTGTCAATTGAGTGTTCGGTTATCTGCAGTATTATAATAGTTGGCTGTCATGATGCCAATCGGGGTCTCACGGTTTCTTTCAGAAGCGGACAGCCCGATGAGACGAGACGCACCCGCAAGCGGACGAACAGACCAGGCGAGCAGGCTGGGACGCCAGGCATCGGGGAACGCCTCCCACTCCGACAGCGACACGCGAGAGTGAACGGAACGACCCGGCGACGACGACGACGACGGCGGCGGCAGCGACGCGGACTACGACGCGGACGAGGACGCCGTCTCGCGCCGGCCGCCGCACGGCCAGCAGCGGCTGTCGTGCGGCACCTGCGGCAGAGTGTGCCGCTGCGCCTGGGAGCTGCGGCGCCACAGTCACGCGCACACGGGCGCGCGGCCCGAACTGTGCCGCGTGTGCGGTCGCGGCTTCGCGCAGGCGGGCGCGCGCAACCAGCGCGAGCGCGCGCACGGCGACGAGCGGCCGTTCGCGTGTGCGACGTGCGGCAAGCGCTTCCGCTGGCGGCGCAACCTCACCTCGCACGCGCTCGTGCACTCGGATGAGAGCCCGCACGTGTGCGACGTGTGCGGGGCGCGCTTCAGCGGCGGCGGCGTTCTGGCCGCGTACGTGCGCATCCCCACCGGCGAGAAGCCCCACGCGTGCGACGTTTGCGGTCGCCCGTTCCGTCATCGAGGCACGCTGAAGGCGCACGTGCGCACGCACTCGGCCGAGCGGCCGTTCGCGTGCGGCGCGTGCGGCAGGACGTTCCGTATGCGGGCGTCGCTGACGGCGCACGCGCCCCGCTGCGGCGAGCCGGCGGAGCGGCCGCCGCGGTTCGCCTGCGTCGTGTGCGACAAGGTGCTCCAGCGCCAGAGAGACTTGGACAAGCACGCGTACGTGCACGAGGACGACGACTTCCGCTGCGGCGTCTGAGGCGGGAGGGGCGGTCGCCGGCGGGTCGTCGCTGGTGAGGCACCGCCGCTCGTCGCAGGACGGTGGCGAGCCGTGTCGCATGTGCAGTCGGCGCGTGTTCGGCTGTTGGTGGCGTGGTTTGTATCGGGCTGTTACGCTGGAGTCGGCAGTGTAGCTGAGTCTGGTGGAGCCGGCTTTGTGTTATCTTTATTGGGAACGTGTTTTATATTGGTGTGGTTTGTGCAACGGCGCTTTCTGTCTCGTCAGTAGCGAGTGCATGGACCATTGCGCGCGTTATGCTGTGCCGGTTGGCAGCATTGAAATCATAAATCCCACCAAACGAAGGTACCCTATCCCGCTTTGAAGCAATGCACTCGTCAGTATTTGCATGATGTGCCCGTGACGCGTGAACCCCACCGCGTGTGCGTTGGCGCTGGTGGCCGCCGTCGCTCGCGCCACCGCCGACTACAGCGCGCGTCGTCGGCATCAGTGCTCCTCACCACTGACGTGATCATCGACGTCGCACGAGCTCGTCGCACGAGCTCGTCGCACGAGCTCGTCCAGCGCACTCTCCCAGGGCGTGCCGGCGCGCGCCACGCCTGGTGCGGTCCAGCCGTCCTGACCGCTCGCCCGCGTGCCAGCGTGGACGAGCGCCTGGTGCGCCGACGAGCAGACCCGGAGCCAGGCCGGACGGCCTGACCGGTGCGGGTCAGCGGACCGGTGACGGATGCGTCGAGGCGATTTCACGAGCGACCGAACCGTGATTGGGGGGGGGGGGGGTAGCTTGGGTTGATGTGTCAATCCGAAACGGCTGTAGCCGGATTCCGCCATCCGCGTCGGGTGGAATTCAGTCATTTGTTCAGGATGCACGTGGCGTTTGCCAAAAGGCGATCGTGATAATACCTGCGAGGCTTTAAACAAGCGCTTCCCGACGTGACACTGGAGCATCAACAAGGCGGGCTCCTCAGCACGCCCTCGTTGGACGAGCGGTGGAGGCGGCGCATTTGGCCGTTTTTTTTTCGTTCCTGTGCTGCCGGCCGGTGCGTCTACGGCTTCATCATGCTGGCCGGCCAACGGCGCGGCAGCCTGCTGCGCTCGGGCGTCAGCTGACGTCGGGCCGGCCACATTGAAGCGCTTGTTTGTTAGGCACTTGTTCAATGGATGTGTCTTGCAGGAGCCGCCTTTGGAATGGGCTCGTGCGGACGGCTCCCTCGCGGTGTTTCATTATTGCTACGGCAAGAGATCCTGCCGAAGCGTTGGACCTCCGTGGTATTACTTCTGCTTAAACAAGTCCCACAGACGTTTCTTATAGGCATGCGGCATCGATTCTAAAATGAAACCTTATACACAACTGCGCCGCATAATGGAATGTGTGCTTCGAAGGCTTGTGTCCGTAAATACGTGCACTGCGAAACTAGTGCACATTAGTATCACACGACACAACTTCGAAGGCAACCCGCCATTTCTTTGGGAGCAAACGCTTATGGTCTTGACTCATAAGGGACGTCACTTCCAATGCAAAAATGTGGATTAGTGTTACTCGACAAAATTGGCATTTGCGCACCAATGGACCGGGCAGGCCCCTGGAGCCGCCAATGCGCGGACCCGCCCTGGATCCGCCGCTGAGCTGGTTGGTTCTGACGTCGTCCAGAGTTTCAGTTGCAGATGACCTGAAAAGGCTGATTGGCGGGCTGGTGGAGAGGACTCCGTAACAAAGGAACGCGTCGCGCGTCGACACGCAGCCATTTTGTTGTGCCAGTGGCGCCCATATTAGCGCTCATGGTTCACGGCGCAACCGGGGCTCGAACCTGGGTCTCCCAGGTGGGAACCGAGGTCACTAACCTCGCAGCAAAATACGACTGTTCCGCGGTGGCCGCTGCTCTTCTGTGACGAGAGTCACTTATGTCGGTGGAATTTCCTGGTGGCGCATGATATTAAGGCTACAGCGGACGAACACTGAAATTCGGCGCCAAATTAGCCCGCGTAAGTCGTCATGCCGTGAATCAAACAAATGCAGCGCATTGGTTGTGCCGCTACGTGTGCTGAAGATGGAGGTCCCGACAGCGTAAGCCTAGAGAAAATGGTACAACGAAGGGTTTGCAGACCTTTGTCATGGCACCGCCGTCATCATCCAACATGCAGGCTGCAAAGTCAAGCTCGTCGAGAGCATTGGTAGTGGTACTGATGGCCTATGGGATGGCTTCAGATGACGTCATGCTTGGAAAAGTATCCCTTTAAGTAGGAAATGGCATGCCTTGACTTGGAGTGGATTTGCCCTGCAAACACATGGAACCATAGAAGAAGCATTTTTTCTCCTATTCGCATTCGCAAACTTTGAACAGACGCAGAAATTTGCAGCACATGCGTGAAAAGCAGTACCTGCTGTGGGACGGTAAGGTTTTTCGAACTCCTCTGGCCGAGGGTCAAACAAGAAATATGTAGATGCTGTTCCCTGCACGTTTTGCGTTTGTATTTACCACCAGTTGGTGCTTTCCTTCAGTTGGCACCAGCAGCAAGCTTTCGCTGTCGGCGGCCGATGTTAGCTGTTAAATTGCTTTTTTTGCTGCACCCAAAAAAACGAGCGCTGGGAAGACAGCGCTTGATGCCAAGTGACGCAAACACCAGACACACACGATATCAGTTAACTGTGATTTATACTACAATTTAAATAGTTAAGTCGATAATTGCTGATGTTCAATAGATGATGGGCAAAGGGCAGCTGGGCAAAGTGCAATCTCACTGAAGAGTGCTGAAGTGGATTCCTAAACTCCGCCCTGCAGGCTGAGTGCCAAATGCTACTTGAAATGTCGCGTCAGCATCATCGCCAGAGTATCTCTGGAACTCATGAGGGTACAAGAAAAGGCAGTGCTGGGCATGTTTTATATTGTGGCCCTTGGAAGGTCATAATGCACATGAAATGGAAAACACAAGACAGGAAGTGAGTGAGATGGAGGCAAACACCCTGATGATTTGAAGTTTATTTGCGATATATGTGCGCTAATTTCGAAACATTCGCATCCATAGTCACTTATCACTAACGCCAAGCCAGCGACATTCCGGGCGTGCAGAACCTTCGCACGACGTGGCAGGCACCAGCGGCAACGTCTCTGTTGCTATAGCAACAGCTGCATGTATTGTCTTGTGATCGTAGATCGGCGTTGTCATGGCAACGGCCGTAGTCGCGTGGTAGAACTACTACGTCCCGGCTGCACCTGCTGTGGCTGCCTTTTTGCGTATGTTGCTTGGAGGCTAGCCACCAGGGTCTAGCGGCTTTTCTTCCTCTGGGCCGCGCCGGGGGCTTCAGTGCTTTCTTTCTTCCCGTTGCTAGTAAATGAAGTCAGCGGCACCTGCGAAGCCACCGCGGCGGGGGAGGAATGAGCCGAAACGTGAGCGGCGTCTAAAGCCACCAAAGAGGCGGCCAAACCTGTTAAGCCGGCCTCGCCGGAGTCGGCCAAGCCTGCCCAGAAGACCAAGCCGACCAGAGAGGCGTCCGGAGAAACCCAAGCCTCCATTCCGGCCTCCCAGCAGACTCAGGCCGCTAGATCCGCCGAGGCTGCTACCTCCGCCAACGCCGCCAGATCCGCCGAGGCCCAATAATCCGCCGAGACCCCCAGATCTTCCGAGGCCTCCCAGGAGACCGAGACGTCTCAGCAGGAGCAAGCGGGTAAACCAGTTATCGTCGTCGAAGAAATCATCGTCGAAAAAGTCGTCATCGTCGAAGAAGTCGTCATCGAAGAAGTCGTCATCGAAGAAGTCGTCATCACCGAAGAAGTCATCATCGAAGAAGTCATCATCGAAGAAGTCGTCGTCGCCGAAAGGGCCGTCGTCGTCGCCGAAGCCGAAGCCGAAGCCGAAGGGGATCCTGGCATTGCAGCCGCCTGCCAGCACTGCCAGCAGCAGCAGCTGTAACATAAAGAGCGAGTGTCAGCGTCGCATGCCGAGGCTGAACAGGTCGGCATGGCCAAGCGTTGTGGGGGGGGGGGGGGGGGGAGTACCACCTCAGTCGAGAGACGGGCCTAATCTTCCGTCAGGTGCGATTCACGTGCGCTAGGTCTTGTTTGTCCTCGCTGACAACCGTCAGAGTCCAAAGTTGGCGAAGACCGACAAAAGAACGGGACTGGACAGGCTTTCTAACGGCGACAATAATGTCCGATTAAGCTTCCTTTCCATTCCTTTTCAATTTAGACTTTGGCGCCTCAACAAAGCGGCCACCTTATGAGAACAGAACAGCACACAAGTGCGAAGCATCGCAGTGAACGGCTTCATGACCCTAGTTCACAGCCTTTGTTTGAGATCTACAAAAACTAGGTTGGTCACGTTTACATTAAAATGGGCGTTTTAACTCCGATAGCGCCGTTAACGCAGCGCGTCTGTACTGAGATGCAAGCGTTTGAAAAATCACACGACTGCGTATATATATATATATATATATATATATATATATATGCGCGTGTGTTTCTGTGTGCGCGTGTGTGTGTGTGTCCGACATAATGCAAAGGGCCATCACAACACTGGCCAAGACCAACACATCAGTCATAGACCTTGGCGCAACACACAGAACCTTAGAAAACTATCGATCACAGGCGCAGCACCGTGTCACGACCTCTGACCCCGGCTCGTGCCCGGGGGTCGCTGATGTGTTGGCGAGGCACCGCTTACGACGGCAGGCTTTTGGACGCGACGAGAGCTTTTGGTGGCGCGAACGCCCGAAGGGACACGTGATTGGTAGCTCTCCATTTTCGTGCCATCACGACATTCGGAATCGACTTTGTAAGCTTTCTTCAAACCTTAAGTCAAGTCAAGTCAAGTCAAGTCAAGTCAAGTCAAGTCAAGTCAAGTCAAGTCACTTTTTGTGACTTGACCCCGGGAGTGGGCCTGCTCCGGGAATCAGCGTGGCAATGTGGAGATCCAAGATGTCTGCCAACCGACACATGGAAATCCAGTGTCGGTTGGCAGACATGTTACGCGGATCATGACTTATTCATGGCCGGGCATACAGCTCGTGCTCCTTTTTCGGTGGC